GACATGAGCAGGGAACAATCCCTGTGGCCCTGTGAGTGCCTGGGGTGTGGGGTGAGGCAGCACAGGAAGGGCAAGAGTGTCAGTACACTGACAAGGCAGTAGATTTCCATAATCCTCAGGCACCTTCTGAACTAGATGATCCCTCTCCTGGGAAGTTCCAGGTCTTTCAGTATCACATGTACACATCTTACTTGGCAGCCTTGGAGATTAGTTGTGCTGTATTTTTCCATTTCTGATTATCAAACTGACAAAATGCTATTATAACCCCGGGTACTTGGAACAGGGGTTGTCTGCAAGCCAAGAAAGCAATTATTTGTTCCAAGCTGGCCGTCCTCCTAGGTCTCTGTAATATTTTTATGCCTTTCATTGTCATGACTGACAATACTAAGATTACTTTTCAAGACTCCTGCCCACCAAACTTACACAAGAAGTACAAGCAGACCTTTCTGGAAGTACCCCTTGTCAGGGGGAAAAAGAAAAAGTTGGTTACTCCCTTGATTTACCAGAACTCATACATGACCTTTAGAAATCATTTTGTATAAGCCTTACTGGTCATTTACCAGGAAAACAACAAAAGCCAGTCTTTATTTTTGGAGTCCGTGCAGTTTTGAGTTCTGAAGGCAGACACAGAAGATGACAAAACACTGGACTGAGAGTCCTCTGTGAGCTCAGGTCCCAAGGAAAGAAAGAAAAGCTCCTTTATGAGTCACGAGGCTGGGTGGGAAAGCCTGAAGAAGACATGTGGAGATGAAGAGCAAATACTTCAGAGACCAGACACCTCTGCTTTAGTGAATAGAGATCCTCTCCTTTAGGTGTCCTCACACTTTCCTGGTTGTCATTAAAGGAAGTGCAGAGGGGGAAGGGGTGCTCAGTGTGGGTCTCACTGTTTGATCAAGAACACATCTGAGAGGGATGTGAGATACATCTGAGACCAGCTTTGGTCTGGCAGCAAGCAGTTGTCATTGGATACTGAGATTGACCTCAGCATACACCAAATCCTGAAAAAAAGCTCTGAGATCATCTCGGATCTCCTGACTTGCTGCATGTGAATTTATAATGCAACAGAAGTCCCAGAAATATTTTTTTTTCTCCCAACAGGAGATTTTGGTGAATCTTGCACTGTCTTGCTTGTCCCTGACATGTTCAAAGGGATAAAAGTTTAAATCTTCTAGCACCATGTCAGAGATCTTCAGGGCTCATGGATGAGGCAGCTGTAGTAACTCCCATTTTGTGATGTCTCCTCTTATGTGGGTGCTGGGGAATTGGGTAAGATTTAGCTGGAACTAGGCTGACATTCTCTGACTTGAAACTGGAAAACCTGGAACTGAAAGCAAGAGAGGAAACTCCTCCCAGAGATCAGATAAATATTCAAAGCTCTCACTGTCATAGAGTGACCTGTCACTACAGTGGAGTATGAAGGAGCAAAATGTCTTACTGATCAGGCAGATGAAGGAACTGCTGTATTTCTCACATGCTGCTGCAGAGGAGTAATCTGACCAGACATAGGTACAAGCAAAGAAGAAAAAAGGAAGTTTTGACAGTAACACTGTACAGTCTAAATACTCCAGGCAAGCCCTAAGGGCAGTCATTAGAAAAGAATACACCTCCCCTGGGAAGTTGAAGGTGGTCCCCTGAGGGAAACCTTTCTACAACATGAGGGAAAGGTTGAGTGATAGGAACAGAGTTCCTGTTCTTCAGCAGAGATGGAACACTTTGGGGCAATCAGAACACAGGCAGAGCATCCTCCAGCACTGGTCTCTGCCCAGGTTGACTGGGAGCAGTTACACAGCTGGATAGAGTTGATGGCATTAGAAGATGATTGGAAGAGAAGATGGCATTAGGCTCTAGATCCATTAGCAAGGATTAACATGATAATAATTTCCAGCTCAAATCCTGCCCCAGTATGATCTCCACCAGTGCAGCCTTTGCATCCCTCAGATCTTCTCAGCTGCAACTGAGAAGACCCAGCCTGCTCACAGCCCTCTCAGGGAAGGTCCTCTGCATGGAATCAGGCAAAGCATTTGTTTGCAGTGGAGGCCCAGGTGGCTTGAACCCTTCCCTCCTAGGACAGGAACTTCCCTTGCAGTGCCAGAGCCACATCCCTGGGAGGACTTCCAGGGGAGCAGAGCACCTTGCAGAGCTCAAGGTCCTACATTTTCCCCAGGTTAGGTGTTTGTACACCCACAGTGTGAATGTGCAGGTGAACAAGCACTCAGACAAGGAGTGTATTCCTCCTTTCAAGAAAGGGCTGGTTTTCAAACAGCCATGTTCTCCTTGGGCAGGGCAAGCCTCCAGTGCTGACCAACCAATGCAAACCAGAAGTGCCAGTTTGAAGTGACAATAAACAGGCAGTGAAACCTGCAAGGACATATCCATCTTACCTAATTCATGCCTGACCCACAACACACAGACAGGAGATACAAAACAGATAGGAGTCTTCCTTTTGAAATCCAAACACTCAATTCACAGCACTCCATGAATTCAGCAGAGAGGAGACTCTGAACAACCCCTAGACTCTTTTGTAGAGCTGTACCCTACATCCAGTGCAGATCTCCTTAGTAGAGCTGCATCCTGTGACAGTACTTGAACAAGAGAAGATGGACTGCAGATGACAGGTCAGGATCCACACACAAACCCCCAGCATCATCCATGCTCACTTTCTGCTCCCCTTAATTGCCTTGGTGTGTAATGAGCTTGCTGGCTGAAAAACCTGGGTGAAGCTCTGCAGCTCATTCACTTTGCAGTGAAATGAAGGCAAATTATTAGTTCAGAGAGAAAATCCTTAGCAATCCTCTCAAAACGAGAAGCAGTTAAGAAAAATCTAACAATTTACCACACAGTGTTACAGCTCAGAGAATACTGAAAGCTGGCACTGCAGGGAGAGGAAGAAGCCTCCTTCCAGCACACTGGCACAGCATGGAGGGGAACTGTGTGATGCACCAGGTCAGGAGCAAACACTGCTGAAAAATAAAGATTGCTTCAGCTAAATCAGTTCCTTGATCCAGCTCACTGCACAGACACCTGGTTTGCTGGCACCAGGAAGGGGCAGCCTGGAGGTGATAAGGTGACCTCTGACAAGCACCAGTTTAAAGTGGTGGCTGGGCTGGCTGCACTTAATCAATTCCAGCAGGCAGAGCCCAGTTCAAGAGCCAGCCCCAAGGTCTATTGTGCATCCTGCTCACCCCTGCTTCCCAAACTGTTTCAGGTCAGCACTTTCATTGATCTGCTGGGCTTCAACAGGCAGGGCTATAAATAAAGAGTCATTAATCAACTATTTAAGTACCCTTTTTACTGAAATAAAGCAATCCCACAGAAATGACATCAAGATGTGAAAAATCCAAACAAACAAGTTAGCGAATACAAAGACGATCCAAGAGAGCACTCCCAGGGACACACTCGAGGCTGAAGTGGCTCGGTGAACAGCCGTGCTGGGTGTTGAGTCAGCCTCTCCAGTGCTCCTGCACTGACTCACTCCCCTCCCAGCTGCCAGCACACTCTGCACCGTCCATTCAGCACCAACAGGAGTCACTGGTTCAGTGTTCAAGTGCATCTGATTCACCATGAGCCATCAAGCTTCTGCAGTCCGTGGCCATTCTCTGCTCCCCCTTCCCTACTCAAGTCCTTCTGGGTTTTCCCTTCTTCCCTCTACTCCCAGCTCTGGGACAGGAACACAACTTGCCATTTAGGATCAGAGAAATGTGCAGATTCCTTTTAAGGTCACAAGGTCCTACAGGCTACTGCAGTGCAGAGGAAGCTACAAAAGCATCCCCATCTTCCCCTGCTGCTGCCTAGGGAGTCGTTTTCTTCTCCCTTCTTCAGACCCATGCTGGGAATGAGCTGTGCAGCCTGGCTCTTGCAAACAGTGCTTTTCCAGAGGGTGATGCCAGGCTCTCCCCAAGACTTAAAAACGGGAAAAAAGGAGATGTTTGCTAAACACCCTCCAAGAAGACATCACTGAGTGTTTCTTTCTTGGGCACTTGCTCTTCACAGAGCCTTAGACAGAAGGACCTTGCACCTCTGTAAGCCCCAAGTAATTACCTTGCTCTTCCAGTTGTCCCTCCCATGGCACCTGTATGTGTGGCACAGCACTGCTGCATCTCCAGCAGCTCTCAGAACCCAGCAGCAAGAGCTGGCAGATGTGGGATCTAGTGAACAGCTGTGTCAGGCACACAGCATCCCCTGTCAGGAAGCAGACCTGCTGCACGACCAGAGGCAACTGGAGCACCTGGGATGCAAGTCAGTGCAAAGCCTTAACCAGCAGCTGCCCTGCCACATGGCCTCACATTCCAGTCCCACAAGCCAGGAGTCCTCTAAGCTAAGGCACACCAAACTGATGCTCAGGTAACCCTCCTCTAGCCTCCTGCTCCCACAAATTTCCTGTGTGACCTTGAAGTGCACAGCTGTGTCTGCACAGCCTTAGGGTGTTGGTTCACCCCCCATCTCTGGTTTGGGCAGTAAAACTGGCTTAAGCTCCTTCCTTCCTCTCACTGCCACAGCATTAAGTCAGGAAATGAGCAAACACTGGCACAGGGCAAGAACAAATACTGTGAAAGCTGTTACATTGCCACAGGGCTCAGGAAGTTACACCCTCATTTTCTTCAGCTGTGAAAGGGGAATAGTGCCATCTCCCCGTGTTAAAGTGACATAAGATACAAAGGATGAGGACAAACATGAAAGATTATGAGATGCACTTAAAATAGTCTTGCCACTTCTTGGCTCAGTAAGGACAAGCTGCATAGCTCTCTTGTTTTACTTGGTGAAATTGCCCGAAGTTAAAAAAAATAAATTAAAAAAAGCTATGAAATCTGTTTGCAGCTTGACCTTGCACTTGGCAGCGTTTAGAAGTGTGCCACTGAACAACTACACCAAGGGGAGGAACTCCATTATTGCCCAAGGACAGCTGAAGGATGAACTGAAATGCTGGTATTCCAGAACAGGTTCCCAGCAAGGGCAGCAAGTAACAGCAGATGATCAGACAACAGGCAGAGGTACCAAGTGGCCATAATCAAAGAACAGCTTTTATTGGCCAAAATAACCAAGAAACCATTTTCTTCCAAAAAACAAAACCCCCTAACTCAGTGGTAAATCTTCACTAAGAAACTGAAACGCAAACAAACTCTGCATAAACTTGACCGTTCCCATTCATCCTCTGAAGTATTCCTCCTCCTCCTAAGTCAGCTGTTCTCCTTCACCCTCCTGCATCACCAGAAGTAGGAGAATGGCAAAACTCAAAGTCATTTAGGACAAGAGAACAAACACATGGGGAGGCATGAGTCTGTCCGTTTACACGCATGAAAGAGGCTGTTGGTGTTTGCAAACATCTTACACACTTACCTGAAAGCAGTAACCTCCTCATTTCTGGAGATACAAACATTTTACTACACAAACTATAGTTTTGTGGTGTTTTTTGGTTTTTAATCCCAGGATACAGGTACAGTTGTGGCCTGGACAGGTTGTTACAACTCAGACACCACCTGCGGTTTGTCAGTTTACACTTCTCTATTCAGAAAACTTGGAAGCTAAAAAAACATAAAAATTGGTTACAGAGTTCTCAAGGCAAATCATAATTTTAAACTCTGCATTAACTCATGCCACTAAAACAAATACCAGACAGAGAAAGCAGGTACCTAAGAAAACCTTGCTCTCCCTGGTAACTGAAATGATGGTGGAAAGAAAAAAATACGAGACAGAGAGAGAGAGAGAGACAGAGACACTGGGGTGCAAGACACCAGTTCCAATAGAGGAATTCTCAGGAGTATTTTCACTAATTTCTCAATTACAGGGTGTACATTATGAGAAACCGTTAAAAAAAGAGATCTGGTTCATAAACAGTTATGCAAATTTGTTCAACTTACATAGGTGAAAATTTAAGAAACAAAAAGAAAAAAAAAGTGTCTTTAAAAAAAAGTCATTATTTACACACTGTGTTTCTTTAAAGATCCCACATGTCTGCACTGAGCTCAGTGCTGTGCACACACCTCTGAGGGTGTGTGAGCAGAGAGCCACAGCACTTCCCTGACAGCAGGGAAGCAACACTACAGAACTAATGGGAGTTACTGACTACTATTGCTGCTGTGCAGAGAACAGCACCGTGTGTTTGACAGAGGAATTCCACTGGAAACAGTCTCCTGTCCTAATCTAGACATGATTTTACAAAACATCTAACACCTGTACTACACCTTTTGTAAGAAAATAGAGAGCAGCTTTGAGCTGCAGTTCTTCTAAACTACTGTAGGAAGGTTTCTCTAGGTACTTCCTAAATTGGCAACCATCTGAGGTAATCGATGATGCTGTGCCAGGAGCATCCTTCACTTCTCCCCGCCTGCACCAACTGTCGCCTCCTTGTTGAGTCCTCTGATGGACAAGTCATAAACCACCTCCTCGATTTTCTTGACATCGTATTTCAGGCCATCGTAGCGCTTCCTCAGGGAGTCGTTCTTCAGGTTGAGGAGGCGGAAGCCAGAATCCAGCTCGTTGATAAAGGTCGAGATGCGCAGAGGGCGAGAATAGTCCCCAGCTGTGACACTGTTCACTGCCAGCCTGGCCTGCCAGAGGAGACAGCAGAGAGCACAGCACCCACATCACATCACAGTCCCCACCAGTCACTGTACCAAACGAAGCACTTGTGGTCCTGGCAGTCAGATTATTTGTACTTAGATCTACCTTTTTGTTGAGCATAGTTCTGGATTTTCAGTCAAATCAAAATTGAAGTTTAAATCTTAGAAGTATCACTGAGGACCATGCAGAGAAGCATCTTGCCTCTGAACAAGTTCAGATCAAGGTATTGTGTATCATAACTGCCAGGAACAACTTGATAAAGCTAAAAAACACATTACTTCTGTTTTCAAGGTCAGTTTCAAACCAAACACATGCATGCATATCTTTCTTACCAGCTCACTGGCCAGAGTTAATACACCAGAAAGATAATCTTCAATGTCCAGGTGAAAGCCCCGTTCTCGATCAGCTTCAACTGAGACAAAAACAGAGCAGTGATGAGGTGGTGCTGAGCATGAGCAAACCCAGCCACCTTAAATTGCATTTGTTTACTGGTGCTAATTTGAAATATCAAATTTATGAAATACTATTACAAAATAAAAGTCAGCCTTTTCCTGTATGTGATGTAATTAGAGCCACTCTGTTCTTGATTCAGCATCTTGTACATCCTCAACTGTACATCGAACAGAGTAACTGGATTTACATCAAAATACAGGATGTATTTTCCTTATTTTTTCCAAATCTTTTGCTCTGTGAAGATACAATTCTTTTATGGCAAAGAATTTAGTCTGTTTTACACACTTTTTAAATACCAATAGCAAGAAGTTAGAGAAACAAGCTCTCATCTTATGCTTATGTTTTATGCTTTTGGTGCATTTACACACTTTGAATGAATGACCTTCATTGATGAAGAACTTATTAATGACTAAGTACTTCAGTTAACATTAGGTTTGCCAATTTCCGTCAACTTCTGAGAATTTGTTGTTTATATAATGAAATCAAATACCAGATAAACTCTGGAACTGGTTTCTCAGGAAGAAATTAAGTTCTGCTATTTCCCTGTACCTCTGAAAACTACAATGTCTAAGGCCACAAGCTTTTTGTTATTGTTTTCTTCCTATAACATTAACTTACTCCCAAGTATTTCTGCAACAGCTTCTCGGGTCACTAATGTTTCTGACTCCAAGTAGACTACAAATGCTGCCAGGAACACCAGCCGCTGCAGCACAAACCTCCAGTGCTCATGAAACCTGCAGGAGAAACACCAGGGCCAGGTATAAATAATGAATGTTTATTACTGGAGCGTTAGGCAACACGCACACATTCTGTGTGTGTTGTGTTTTCTGCCTTAACACGTGCACTTTGCAGTATTTTTGGTTTATCACAATGACACCAGCTAAAAGACATCTCCTTGGTACTCCAGAACTCCTCACCCAGGTTACCACACCAGACACTGACATTTGCTCACCCCTCTCACACACCTCCTCAGCTCCCACACTTTTCCAGGCTGTGTTGCCCACAGACAGCCAGAGCTTTCCCTCAGCAGATCTGAACTGACAAGATTCTTGTTCTTTGAAATGTTCTTGCCAGGCACTGTCCCCTTCTGGCAGCAACAGAACACAAAGGTGACAACTTCATTTAGTGTCTGCAGAACCAAACAGCCATTTCATGACAGATTTAGAGCTCTGCTTCCAGGAACGCCCCAAACTGAACAACTTAACTGAAATTAATGGAGCAGCAAATGCCCTGCTCCCAGATACAAGGGCAGCTCCAACTTCTTAAGCTCCCCTTTTGCTTTTTAAAGAAAATTTCTAGAAAAAATAGTTCAATACTGAGTATTTTTGGTGAAAAGTTAAAGTGTTAGAGCAAAAGCGTTTTTTATCTATGCTGATAAAAACCTCACACTTGTCTACCATGATTTACTTTTCAAAGAGAAAGAAGCACTCAGCCCATCAACCTTTACATCATTATTCCAAAGCAGTAATTGGAAGCAATTATTGCAATGCCAAGCAATTCCCATACATATCTGTGTCTGGCTGTGTGTGATCCTGCACACCTGTAATACTGATCAGCAGGAAACTTGGTCTTCAGGGACTCCATCTGTGTCCTCACTGTACCAAAGTGCTCACGAGCCTTCTGACACTTCTTTGGAACTGAAAAAGAAACAGCACAGCATTTGGGGAATGAATACACTCAGGAAATGGGTATTTGACAGGCAGCAGAGGTTTGTAAACAGAGTTTCCCAGTGTGAACAGTGCTATTTACACTTCTTTCTTGCTCAAGATAGGCTACTGACACTTGGAATCAACCTGAGAAGTATTCCTGGTGGCACCATGAGCCACAGAGGTAAAGCAGAAAGACTCTGGAATTCCAGGCAGTCTGATCTGCTCTGGGCCTTGGTTTGGAACTTGAGCCAAGATGTCCCAGCAACAGCCAGATCCCAAGCCATGGAACAGCACTGCACACAGCAGCTGGCTCCAAAGGAAGCACACACCAAGCACTGCTGCCAGGCAACTCTCACAGTCAAAGGAAAAGAAACTTTGCTTTCTCTGTATTAAAATCTTATCCTATTTTTTTTTCTAATCCATCAGAATTTGGCTACATGAGGTGCAACATCCCTTCAGGAAACTGTATTTCCTGCTTTTTACGATGTATTTGCAGAGCCTGGGTTGCAGCTCTGCAGAGGAATGATCTCCTGTTCCTGCAGCAGCCACTGCCACCTCCCGTTCGCTGACAGAGTTACAGCCCCGATGTGCCTGCAGTGCCGGCGGCCACAGCGTCCCTGCAGCCCTCACACAGCACAAAATCAACCTGGCAGCCCTCCTGCATCTCCATGTGCAGAGGCCAGGACTATTCACAAAAGCTACATCTGAAAGCTGTGCTGGTTTTTAGCAAACAACACCCACGAGGAGTCACTCAAGTGTGATTATAAAACTTCTGTTAATAACACATAGTTTCTGTTTAAAAAATAAAAGAGAGGAGAATGACATGCAAAAAAGGAAAGCTTCAGGAAGCAGCATGTGGGAGTGCTCCATGTGGCAGTCAGGATGAAAGAGCTGTGTGAAGCTCACTGAGAGCTACAGCTCTGTCAGGTGAGCATTGTGTGGCTGGAGGAACAGAGTAAGGAACACATTCAGGTTTGGGTTTTGCAGAGGCACCTGTGACAAAGAGAAATAATCCTTACTGTAAAGGCTCAGACAATGCCCAGTGACACAAACACACAACCCCAGATTCAAACTACCCTTGCACAGGTGCCACCTGTGATGTTCTGCAGCCTCAAGAGCAAGGACAGAGTTGTCTCTGGGGCTGTGGTGGCCCTGCCTGTCACCCTGCCTGCCACCAGGCCACAGCAGATGCAGCACACGCTGCCCTGCCCAGCCCTCCCAGCAGCTCTCCAGCTCCAGCTGGGACAAGCACCAAGAACGCCTCTGGGAGATGACATTTTAAAAGCCACTGGCTGGTACAGGAAGCTGTCCTCCATCAAACTCCCAACTATCCCAAGGTTTTACTAGCAGAGCTGAATTTGATGACAAATTCACAGGTCTGCTATCACAAGTTAACTCTTGACCTATAAGGCATTATTTTTGCAAAAATTATAAGATGAGGCTTTGGGGTTTTTGCCTGATTGTTTATTTGTTTGTGGTTTTTTGGTTTGATTTTTTTTTTGTTTGTTTGTTTTCCATTTTTTCGTTGGTTTTGTCCTTTTTTTTCTTTAATTATTCCAAATCTCTTCTCAGACTCCTCAAGTTCCAGGACCAGCTCTCTCCAGGAATGAAAAATCAAGTGAAAATACACTGAGTTGAAGATGGGCCTCTACAACTACATACCTGAAGTTGTTCCCCACACAATGACCATGGATGTTCCCAGCTTAGAGAACTGAGTCTGTGCAAATAACCACTCAGCAGTTCTGATTTCCAGCACTGCCAGGTTTCCCAGCAGATGGAACTTGTACTTGCCTGCACAGCGCAAAGCTCAGGTGCTGCTCATTGCTGAGCACAGACCCTCTCTGAGGCCAGAGGAAGGCCAGGCCTCCAGCCCAGCCCCAGTGTGCTGGGGAGCCTCATCAGGCTGAAAACAATCCATCAGCTCTGCAAGGGAGTAACTCAGCACCCGGGGAGGCTGCTCCTGTTTCCCTTCACAGCATGGCCTGCACAAATTCCTCTCAAGAGCAAAGTCAGAATGGTTACTTCTTCTTACAAGATATTAATTGACTGGCAAAAATCCAGCTCTTAAGGGACATATTTGAGTTTATTCCAGTAGTGTCACCAGTAAACTGAGAAAGGAAGGGGCAGAAAGAGCAGATCTGACACCTGGGCCTGCAGAGCTGCTCTCGTGGCCTGGAGGAAATGGGCTGGCCCAGAAACATTCTGTCCAACACCTGAGAAACCTGGAACCAGGTTGATGACAGCCCAAACCTCCAAAGCAGCAGAACAATTCCTGCTGTCACTCAAGCAGACATCAAGGGCAGGTCCTGCTGTTTCAGCCCTTGCAAATTCTTTTTACATTTTGCCGCATTAAGCGGATTTTATACATACAGAGAGAATGTGTTTGTACAAACAAGATTGAAGTGTGTTCCCCTCATCCCAGCCCATCCTGAATACCCCCTCAGCGCTCAGGAACACAGCTTTTTGGGGCGTGGGGCGAAGAGATGAGACTGATCAAAGGCCCAACAAGACATGATAACACAATTTCTGCACCAATCACTTACAGGGAGACCTAAGAGCCAACTCAGCGGCCCAGGACGTGAACACCTGGAAAAGAACACACTGCTCTATACCAAGACAGAAAAGCACCACGCTAGGGAGGGAGAAAGGGACAGAACGGTGTCCATAACGCTGAACGGCAGCTTTACTGCTTGTCCGGCTTGAAACCTCCCAGCTGCGCTCTCCTCTCCCCAGATGCCTCCGGGAAACCCACGCTGAAGGCCCCGGGAGAGACTGGAGCCTGGAGAAGGGGCCCCGGGGCAGGGCACCTGCGTGCTCCCGCCCCCAGCTGTTCTCCGCGGGACTCACTGTGCTGGAAGCCGGGCCCCTGGTGCACGCCCTGCAGCAGCGTCAGGATCTCCCGCGCCGTCTGCTCCAGCGCCTGCACCACCTTCCGGATCTCCTGCGGGCACAGCGCGCCGTCAGCCGAGCCACGGCCCCGGCACGGCCCCGGCACCGCCCCGGCACCGCCCCGGTCCCGTTCCCGTCCCGCCCGCCCCGGCACCTCTCGGATGTCCTGGTCCTGGCCGAGCGCTCCCTGCAGCGCCGCGAACATCTCGCTCACCGACATGGTGCCGCCGCTTCCCGCCCACGGGGCCTTCCGCGCCGCCGGCGCGCGCCTGCTCCGCCCCGCCTGCAGCGCCGCGCCGGGCTGCCCGGAGCACCGCCTGAGCGGCCGGAGCAGCCAGCAATGGACTTGGGGGCGGCTGGGAGGGTACCCAGAGAGTGCTGCTCGCCCCGGGGATGCAGCTGGCCGCTCCCAGGGCGGGAGTTTGCCGCCCCGGCGGTGTCCGTGTCCCAGGCCGCCCTCCCGGTGCGGCGGGGCCGGGCCCGGTGTGGCCGCGCGAGGGCCCGTCCGCCCCGTTGCCAGGAGACGGCGTCTGGCCGCGCGGCGCCGGCGCGAGGGCAGTGACGCACTTCCGGCGGCCGCGCGGAGGCAGCATGGCGGCGGGGGAGGCCATGGCGGCGGAGGTGCCCGCGTCGGCCGCGGCCGTGAGGGCGGCGCCGCTCCTGGCGCTGGAGCCGCGGCTGCAGCGCCAGTTCCAGCAGAAGGTGCAGCGCGCCCGCACCAAGCGGACGACCAAGGTGAGCGGGGCGGCCCGGCGGGGGCGGGGGCGAGGGCCTGGCGAGTCCCGGCCCGGGCTGACGCGGTCTCTGTGCCCGCAGGAGGAGCTGACGCCCGGCGTGGTGTTCGTGGGGCATCTCCCGCGGGGTCTCTGCGAGCCGCAGCTCCGCGAGTACTTCGGGCAGTTCGGCACGGTGACGCGGCTGCGGCTCTCCCGGAGCAAGAAGGTGAGGAGCGGACTGTGCGGGGCCGTGATGGGGCCGAGCGCCCCAGGCCGGGCCGGCTCCGTGACCGCCGGGGCTCCCCCGTGCCCAGCGAGGGCCCTCGGAACGCGCAGGGGCCGCTGCGCCCTGAGGCTCTCGGGAGCCCCTCGTGGGAGCGGCAGGGCCCGGGACTGTCCCCGACTGCCAGGCGGCGGCTGGGGCACGGCTCTTGTCCTTTTTTCCGTGAGTAAATTCACTCCAGTGGGAAGTGCCAGAGTGCACCAGTTCAGGGTACAACTGAAGTGCCACGATTCTATATTAACTTACTTGCCGTGTTGGATAAAGCTAATATTTTCTCATTTCTGGGTTTGGTGTCACATTTTAAGATTACTGTATAAGCATGGAACAGTGGAACAGCAGCAACGCAGGGCAGCTTTGGGGTTTTTTTGGCAAGTAGGTACCTGTGAGCAGTTTTTGTGTGCAAATATATATTTTACAAATAACATGATACCAATTTAGGACTAAATCTGTCTTTCAGGACTAAATTGCATTTCTCACAGTTTCAGTGACCTTTGTGAATTTAGCTGTTATTAGCTGAGAATGGGCTATGACTTTAGAAGAATAAAATAATTTTAATAGAGGCCTTCAGGTACCAAAGCACTGTTTGATGTTTCTCCCTTGTCACTCACAGACTGGAGCCAGCAAAGGCTATGCATTTATGGAGTTTGAGTCTGATGATGTGGCCAAGATTGTTGCAGACACAATGAACAACTACCTGTTCTCTGAGAGACTGCTGAAGTGTAAGTATAAGCTGAGTTTAAGTTCTCTAGCATGCAAAGGAAACTTGTGGTTATTTCATTTCATTTATCTTTTTCAACTGTGCATAGAATTTTAGGGGTTTTTTAATGAAGCTTTGTCCCAGAAGTATTTTCTGTGGGGCTGAGCTTTTCATCATGTGTAAAATTTTTAATCATGTGTAAAGAACATGCTCAGCAGGCTTTTGGTCACTAGTGCTGGTTTTTCCTCTGGGCTGATGTTGCTCCTAGTGACTGTGTAACACGAAATCTCAGGACAAAGTTGAGTTTGCTGTAGAGATAATTCCTTTCACATGGACAATCCTTGGCATTTGCAGCTGCTGCAGTTGTCTGTGAGGATGGACAAAAAGAGGCTTTGAGTAAAAGATTGATGAAATCACTGAGTTTCTCAGTCATGGTAGCAGTAACACTTTCTTTGTAAAGGATTATCAGTTGATGTGTTGCTGTAAAACAATTTTGCCTGATCTTTCTGGATGAAACTGTTAAAGTGTTTTATCCATCCACCCACGTTGTCATTGCAAGAGTTCCACATTGCTGTCTCCTATCACAAAAGTTCCATACCTTCTTGGTGTTTCTTATGGGCAGCTCCTCAGAGCACTGCCTCTTTCTCCTTCACAAAGCAGCCACTGACTGCAGCTCCCCTCTCACCCAGCCACCCCACTCTTTTATAGCATCTTCTTCTCATTGCTTACAGCTGTGGCCTGGTAAAGTCAGGCCTGCTCCTAATCTTTGATAATTGGCCCAGCTGCAACTCCTTAGGGGTAAGATTACTTTCTACACTATCTTTAGGGTAGAAAGTAATATTTTTCACACTGTTTTCTTGTATTCTATGCCCCTACACACCCACCCCCCCATTTCCCTGGCCGGCTGAGGGTGCAGTGTTGGTTTCTTTGTTCCTGACTCGCTGGGCAGCACAGTGTTGTGGCTGTGAGCTGTGCTGTGTGAGTGCCCTTGGCAGGAAGGGGAGCCGTGCTGTAACCCCTGTGCTGTGCTTGCTGCAGGTCAGTTCGTGCCTCCCGAGAAGGTCCACGAGAGCCTGTTCCAAGGCTGTGACAGGATGTTTCGGCAGCCCTCGCAGCCGGCCGTGCGGCGCTACAACCGCGTGCGCTCCCTGCTGGAGAAGGCCAGGATGACGCAGCGCCTGCTGAGGAAGGAGAGGCTCTTACGGAAGAAGCTGGCTGAGAAGGGGCTGGACTATGACTTCCCAGGATTTGTAAGTTTGGCATTGTTTCAGTGAGTGTTTTAAGCAAGATGTGTGTCTAGAGTTGTGCTGAATGCATGGAAATAATGTGTTTTGTGTGGGACTGGCAAAAGAGCTGGAGCCCCAGGGAGGCTCACCTGTGTTAGGAATTGTATGGAAGCCCCAGGAATTCGGTGTGGTGCTGTTGCTGGGCTGCACTCCATGTGCCTGCGTGTTTACTTGTAGAGAAATAGTAGGTAACAGCAAAGGGCAGATGTTCCTTTTGTTCTGTTGGTACAAACAGTTGCATATTCTGTGGTTTAATACTGGAGTGCAGATGACCAAAGAGCAGAGGGGCTTTGGCAGAGTGGGGGTTTGGAGGCAGGTCCCAAGACCAGAACTTCTGTCCACAGCCTGTGCATGTTCCTCTGCAGAGTGCTTGGGTCAGGTACTTGAGTTGTGAGCAGTTAATGCTGTTTAACATGGAATGTTCTATAAATGCAGAGTAGCACATTTTCTTGTGTTGCTTTTGGTGTTTCTGTTCAAACCAGATCACCTCTGTGTCATTCAGTTTGTTTCTTTAAACCTATTTGCTGTAACAAAGACTTTGTAGTTACGAAACAAATCTATGAAGTGTTCAGTGACTGCATCTTCACACAAGTGTGTAGTGATCCACCTGATCTGTCTTTCTTCCTAGGCTGCACAGGCGCTTTCCAAAAAGAGGAAAAAAGTTAAAACATCCAAGAAAGCAAATCTGAACATTTCTTTGAGCAGCCAGGTAAGACAGACCAGTCCTGGTGGTGTCCAGTACCACCATTCACATGGGGGCAGGTGTTTGAAGTCTTCAGCTGGCACCTTAATGCTGATTTCAACACACAAAAGCCTTAACATTGTTTGCCTGAGAGATGTTTGTGCCGGAAGTAGCTCCTTTGAGATGTATTTACACTCTTGAACTGGGGAGGGTGATAGAATCCTCGTGGTTCCTTCTCCTGTGAGAGTATTCAGTAGCAGAGGCTTCTGCTCAGCACGCTGTAACCAGCAGTGCCTGTCCCTCAGTGCTGTCTGCCTCTGCTGTCCAGCACTCCCTTGGTACTGCAGGGTGCTGGGGCACCTGTACACCCCTGCACCTGTGCTTTACCGTGGGATGACATGGTCTCCTTGATGGAGTCCTTCTGTTGGACCATGTTTCAGTGCCATCCTGTTTTGCTAGAAAGGGAGTTGAATTGTTGATACAATCCACAACTGTCTGTCCCCATTTCCATCTGTATTGTCCCTCCTACCCCGTGCTCTCCAGGCACAGAATTTGGTGTTTAATACCAGGTAAAAGTAGCAGTAGGATGAAAAGGAAGTTCAGGTCATCAGGACTGAGATTTGGGATATTGGCAGTCTAAAAAGTCTAAGACATGAATATTCCTCTTCTGTTCCATCATTGTTGTGAGTTGCGGTGTTGAGTGTTTGGGAATTTTTATTATTGCTGGGTTTACTTGTGATAATTGGGGGATTTATTTGGGGTTTACTTGTGATAATTGGGGCATGGCTGGTTGTGAGGCAGACAGGATAACTTATACATTCTGTCAACTGAGTTCTGAGGGCTTACTGAGGTAACAAAGCTGGGATGTTTCAGCTCTGTTGTAAAATGGAATGAGGCATTTCTGTACGCCAGTCTCACTCCCTCATCCCCCACCTCGTTGCCCTTATTATGTTCCACTTGACTTTCATGGTGCTTTGAGTCAGGAAATACAAGGTTTAGAAAGCAAATGTGCATAACAACACGTTAAAAAATGTGAATTAATTTCCATTTGCCTTTCACATACACTTCTTTGAAGGTGACGCTTCTGTCCAAAGAAATAATGTCTACAAAAGTAGCTAGTTATAAAATGTAAGCAATTTTTTCAAGAAGAGCTGAACTGAGGTGTCTTGTGGTACCACAGGGGCAGCTTTTTCTGGCAGATGGCTTTGCTGTGAATCCTGTTTTTCTGATCTCTTCAGGATCCTACTCCAGTGTGTACTCCAGCAGTGCTCGAGCGCCGGAAAGCTGCTCGGATGGATGATGACACAGAGGACGATGAAGTAACACTCAGGCTTCCCTCTGCCAGCGGTAAGAACGCTGTGCAGGGACCAAAGAAGCAGCCAAGGCAAAGGCCAAGCCTGAAGAAACAGAAACAGACTTAAAATTGTTATGCCTGTAGCCATATTTTTCTCAAAAACTTTTGAGGTGGAGCTTCTGCTGGGTCTGCTGCCCTGACTTGGTCCATCCTAGACTGTTTCAGGCTTTCCTAGGCAAGGACTCTGTTCACAAATCCTGTCCCTGTGGTTTAGCCATCAAGGGACATA